ATCTCCAATTCTTAAATGTAGTTGTAATAAATTACACTCTACATTAACATATTTAGCAATTTATTTATTTTTAATTTTCCAATGCACAATGTTGTTACAAATGTAGTGATGGGGTGGACATAATTAACATCTACAATGTAGAGAATATTGTGGTTCATCCACATTCTATTCATCCAGTGGAGAAGGAAGAGATAAATATTATTACCATTTTTAAAATATCTAATTACTTAATTTTTTTCCTTTCATATTTATAAATTTCTATTTTTGTAAAGTGGACAATATTGTGTTTGATTATATTGTCCATTGGAGACATTTATTTAGAATTAAAGTTCGGAACCTAATAATTATCTTATGTGGTTCACAATCCATCAAATTATTGACATTTGTCAAAAATTATGTAATAACAACATTTATGCATTGGAGATGCTCTATACGAACAAACTATGAGCAACATGAAATCATAATATTTTCAACAACATATGTTCCACTCTTTATCAATTTCATTCACAGTTTCAGAGTGAATATAGACAAAGTACGTCATTTCATTCACAGTTTCAAAGTGAACATAGACAAAGTACGCCTTTATTTATTAACACGTACTGTAAACGCCAATATTTTTTTTTTTTGGTACAGGGACTTTTCGGTTTCCGGATCCACAGGGGAACCGACTAATCCGGAATCGAGCCGGGTAGGACCACAAGGGCGGCAAAGCTCTCCCTCAAGAGTTTTAACACTGCTGCATTCTCATGGTTCGAACACGAGACCACTGGTTAAGCTGGAACACGAGACCACTGGTTAAGCTGGAAGAGTTTTAACACTGCTTATTTTTTATAAAGTGTGTACAAATAATACCAACAAACTATAATTTTATGAGATCCTCTATCGTTCAAAAAATAAAAATAAAAAAAAAAATCAATGTCTTAGATTATAATTTGAAAATTTTTCTTAGTTAATATTTTTGTTAACAAATAAAATAGTCATTATATAAATATTATTATATTTATTAACTTTTAATTTTGTTAATTGCATAATGATAATTTAAATATATATAACATAATAAGACTTCTAGAAGTACTTTCACATGTAGAATGACTTCTAGAATAATTTCATCTCTTTCATGTCACATCACCACATATGTAAGTAAAAAAAAATGACCGATGAGAAGTTCTTTATCGGATTACTTCTACGTTCCCACAATTCACATGTTGGAGATGCTCTAACACTCTAAACCCAATTAAAACCACAAACATGGGATTGGGATACCATAAACAGTCTCTACATTAAACTCACACTCACTCACATTGGAAACATATCATCTTTCCTAGAACCAAACTTTTCCCAACAGAGTAAGTAAGACGAACAAAATGTCATGGCTGATTTACAAACATAACAATAATAGATTCGGGCAAATTTAAGGAGCGCTCGAGAGGGTCTCCACTGCATCTTCTTTGGATATGGCCACAAAGTTGAGTGGGGCCACTGGCCTTGATTCCATCTTGCCATCTCTATTCACGGATTTTGCACCATCTTGATGCGCATTGAGAGAGAGACGCCTGCTGGCAGCCCCATTGGTCCGCGGCCCAACTGCTTTTTTGGTGCTCGGGTGTCGTGGGCTTGGCGACGAGCCCAACACTGAGTCATGTTCCTTGTTCAGCTGTTCGTGGAACTTCTTTTGTTCCTGCCAAGGACATGGATTAGTTACTTCTTTTGTGTGTAGTGTGTATTTATACTTCAATAAATGGCTCTCAAGAAGCAAAGTCAAAACGCAAAATGACAAGGAGATTGGACTAACGTTCAACCTCTTCTTCTCCTCTTCTCTGTCGTGTCTAAGAATTACATACTCATCTAGCATTGCAAGTAGGGGAACACCATCATACCTGAATGTGATCCCACGATCTTGCTCCCATGCACGAGTTTTTGCAATTAAACCGTCTACAAGAGCTACAACACCAAACAACAATTAAGAAACTCGGGTATGGGGATAAAGTTCATGTTATGAGTGGATAATGAGAATCTTTCTGAACAATTGTCGTAGCCATAATGTATCAAAATAGTGCAACAAATACCTGGAATTTTACTGACCAGAATTCGTGCCTTTTCAGCCCTCTTCAGATTCAAATGTGCACCTCTACTTGCATTATACCTGTTCTCATCCTATTTAAATAGACGAACCATTAATCATATTTAGTAAACTGACTTCCAAATAAGGCTCTTCAGTTGCTCAAGAAATCTTTACTAGTAATTATTTGATTAAATAGAGAATGAACGCCATCATTATTTATCATCGCATCACAAGACACGTAGTGAAATATTAGCAAAAACTTCAACAAAATAAGTCTCTGAAACAAGCAAATTGAAAAGGTTAAATTATTGGGTTAATTGCTAATTAAACTTTAACCTTTTTGCGTTTGGCAATTTTATCTCAATCTTTGGGTAATTGCAATATAATCTCGACCTCAATTTTTACTTATTGCAGGTCGAACCTAAAACCGGTCGGACCTTCAAAAAACTGGTCGATTTGAAGGCAGTTCGAATAGATCGGAGTTCATATTTACTGGTTCACTCCAGATCTAGGAGGAGACTCATCATCAGTAGCTTGCATCGACGTGAAATTTTCGGCTTTGTGTGTGGATATACATTAAATACATGAAAATTGTCAACTTACTACGTGGATGACATAAAAAACCGTATCAATGGAAGACTTGGACACAAAATCGGTCCACAAATCCCTAAAATCAATCACTCTGCACCCAAATTTGCAAGAAGTAAATTGCGGTTGAAATTATATTGCAATTACCCAAAGATTGGGCTAAAATTGTCAAACGCAAAAAGGTTAAGATCTATTTAGCAATTAATCCTAAATTATTTAATTACAGAAAAATATATAATTACCCTATTGTAGTCTTCAAGCCAACTTTCTTCATCACAAGATGACATCCACTTCTCAACTTTATCCAATATGTCCTTCCTGCTAGCTGCCTCTTCTTTTGCTTTCATGATCTGATTTTCCATGTCAGCCAATAACTCTGTAGGCTCAATGCTGCCGGAGTCGATTAGCGATAAAATCTTTTCTCGGGCAACCTCGGTATCTATCTCTATGTGAGCATGTGCGAATATCTCCTCAAGTTCAGCTTCCCTCTTAAAAGCAATTTCCTTCATTCGGCTAGCTTTTAGCTGATCTAGCTAGTCTCTCAAACAGCGATTTTAGGTCGTCCGATTAATCGACAATTAATCGCGATTAATCGACGATTAATCGCGATTAATCGTCCGACCAGGGCATATGGACGACTATTTGTCTTTTTGGGCTGGTATGTGGGCTGCTGGGCTTGGCCTGTTTGGCCTGTTAGGGTTAGGATATATATAGGAAGGAGGTAGCCAGGGACAGCCCGATTAATCTAGCTGGTCGACGATTAATCACGATTAATCGTCTGGTCGGTCCCTGGTCGACCAGGTTCGACCAGCCGACCTGAAAACATTGCTCTCAACTTCCTCTTCAGCCTTTGATTTGAAAGGAGCAATTAGCAAATTGATTGAACCACTGGACAAATTGAACCATGTTCGGTGGTTCGTAAGTCAACTCCCTCACATCCTGCATGCTCACTGATTTCGCTACTTGGATCAGAAACTCGGCCTCCTCTATCTTCTCTGAGCCCGAACCGGAACTCAACAAGGACATGAGGCCCGCGACCAGACCACTCATCTCCGAATATTTCTCTTCAAGCATGACCTTGGCATCCACCAGCTTCATCTGCACGCGCTCTTCACGCCACACCTCAGCTATTTGCAGCACTCGCCTCTCCTCTTCGACTTCCTCATCAAGACTCATGCACTCCCTCTTAAGAGCCTCCACCTCAGCTTTATCCTCCTCAATCTCCTTCGCCAGCTCATCGCAAACATCCTCGATCAGCGCACGGGCCTTGCGCTCCTTGTCGTACCCCTGCGCGAGGCGCTTGGCCGACAGCCTGGCATCGGCCAGCTCGTTGACTAGCTTTGAGTTGACAGCCTCGAGCTGCTGCGGGTTCTTGCGCTCGTGGGCCAGGTCGGACTTGATGTCGTCCATGATGGCCCGCACTTTCTTGTGCTCCCGGCTGCGCCACGCGGCTCGCTCCTCCCCAAGCTTCCTTAGAAACTGCTCCAGCTTCTTCTTGGAGGACCGGTGCTCTGACTCCAACTCGTCGATGTGGGCTAGGGATCGGTTAAGCTCTGCCTCCAGAGCAGGGATTGCTGTGGAGTGGTGTCGGCCAGGGGCTTTTGGCAGGGCGAAGATTTGGGCAGTTGTTTTTTTGGGCTTCCCAGCTGTGGGGGTCCCACTTGGTAGTTCCTTCCATTGCTGGGTTCAGAAACTGAATAATGTGTTGAAATGATTTAGAGTGTAAGAATAAGTGAATTCCAGGTTAGATTGCACAAGTTACTCTTAGGCTTGGCCTAATTACGAAATCAAAATAACAAACCTCTAGAGGCAAATACCCCTACTGAAGATGCAATCCATAAAACAAAAACAAATATCAATTGGGTTGATTGTAATTTCAAAGTATACTGCTTTTTTCTTTCCTTTTTTTTTTGTAATTTTTCCGGACTCGGAGTTGTAGTTTGCCATTTTCCCTTAATTTTTGATGTCAAATAATACTTTGAAACTAAAGGAGCTACAGGATGCAATGCATCATCTCACAACTTGCAATAATGAGTTTACGGACTGTGAATATCCTATTAATAAGGTTGCATATCTATGTATATGAAAGAGTCCTAAAATATGGTTGATGCTACTAAGAACAAAACCAATTGCAAGGGCATGTCACTATTAGCTTGGGGATGTTCTTTCTATAATTCAATTTAATTAGCAACTAAAAAGAAACACCATAGTTCAATAATTTATACCTTATTAAAGAGATGTCCATGCACGGATCTTGGACTATGCACCATGTCATTATCTGTCAAACCATGCACTCTGTCGACATGATGACAATCGAGAGTGCCTCCAAAATGGTCCACTCCGAACTGCAAGCAAGAGTAGGAAAAGCAAAATGAAAGATGAATGACCACTTACATGACACCATTTCTTTAAACACAAACTCTTATGTGGGGCAGCCTCAACATTAGGCGGGTCGACCGTGTACCTTGTGTACCTATACTATCGTATGTCACACTTTTGCTTATGTTGTTTTTTGAAGTAAGATAATTTCTAATGAAGGTATGCATTTTTCACAAAAAAGTATGCCAGCATAACAGAAGAATTAATGTTCTTTAAATAGCTCCCATAATGCATTTACGAGGGGTTGATCTAAAACAAGAACCCATTTCATGAAGCCAACTGTTGGGAAGATGCAAATTGAGCTCGTCTAAAAAAAGATAGTCCCAAAAACAAGAACCCATTTCATTAAACCAACTGTCGGGAAGACGCAATACAAGCTCATCTTAAAAAAGATGGTCCCAAGTTCTATATATGGTCACACACTTCAAACAAATTAGCAGAATATTAAGCCAAATGCAAAATATTAGGACCCAAATTGAGATTTTTCAGCAATGAACCCGTAAATTGAAACGAACACGGGTATTTAAATCTCAGAGTCGCCTGCAATTAATTCACTATGTTCTAACTCCCTTTGCACTGGAAAACAAAATCAAGCATAGTATCACTACAGTTCAAATCCCCCACCCCACAGATAATACTTATTCATAATAACTAAAAGGAAAGTCTAACAAGATTCACATACATTAAGAAGACTTTGAAATTAGAGCTTGAAGGAACAAACTAAAATGTCCGCCAAGGAAATGTACCTGAAACCCTCCTACCCTTTGGCCAGTATGAATCTGAAACTCCAGCATATTGAGGCGCCACAGGCCAGCAGCAAGTTTCCTGGCCGAGACCCCTGGACTGGTCCTCCGCCGACTCTTGCGGCCAGCTTCTCAGCCAGATTTATCCTCCTCCGCGGCCGGAAAACTTTCGCCACAGCCCTCATCGAACCTCCACCTCAGCAGAGGCGTCTCGGGCCGACTGCCCCGCCTCGCGGGCGGGGCTCCAGCTTCCCTTCTCATCCGAACTCCGACGCCGGGAGCCTTCATTCTCCGGCGCGGGAAACTTGGCCTATCGTGAGGGTCCAACTGCGGCGGATGGTTTTGAGGGGGCTGGATTTGGCCGGCGCCGGTCCTTTCAACTGTTACCTTCATTGCTGAAGCCAGAAGAGCTCGGCCATTGCAGGCTTTGTAACGGCGGGCGCGTGAGGTTTGTGTTGTCTATAATTGTTGTTTTGTATGTGAATTTCACCAAAACTGGCGTGTAACATAATTTTAAACATATTTAAATATTTAGTTAAATGTAATTAATTAAAATTAACATCTAATTATGAAAAAATAAATACAATACAAAAAATCATATATTATTAAAAACTTCTCTGTACACAACATTATTTGTTTAATTCAGAGGCAACTCATTTTCACCACATATTAGAATTTTCAAACCCTTTCTGTTGGTGACGCGCGAAACAACAACATATAACTGGCCATGACTGAAAACTAGTTTCTGCAAGAATAAACCAACGTGGGATAAAGATTGACCCTGGCTCTTGTTAATAGTCATTGCATAAGAGACAACTATAGGGAACTGCCTTCGTTGAAACTTAAAAGGTATTCGTGC